ATCTATCTATCTATCTATCTATCTATCTATGAATCTATCTATCTATCTATCTATCTATGAATTTATCTATCTATCTATCTATCTATCTATCTATCTATCTATATCTATCTATCTATCTATCTATGAATCTCTCTCTATCTCTCTTTTCTCTTTTTTTATCTCTATCTATATATATCTATCTATCTATATCTATCTATCTATCTATCTATCTATCTATCTATCTATCTTTATCTATCTATTTTTATCTATCTATTTCTATCTAATGAATCTATCTATCTATCTATCTATCTATCTATCTATCTATCTATCTATATCTATCATCTAAGAATCTTTCTTCTATCTATCTATTTAAGAAATCTATCTATCTATCTATTATCTATCTATCTATATTTTATCCTATTTATCTATCTATTTATTTATATCATTAAGAATATTTTTTATTATCTTTTATCTATCTATTATTTTTCTACTATCTAAAGATCTTTTTTTTTTTTATTTATATTTATAAATTCTTATCTATCTATTAATTTATCTTTTTTTTTTTTTTTTCTATCTATCTATCTATCTATCTATCTATCTTTCTTAAAGGAATTTAACTATTATATCTTATCTAATGTCTGTATGTTTATCTATCATCGATCTACTATTTATTATCTAGGTCTACTCTAATATATCTATAGCTTCTGTGTATTTTTCTATTTATCTGTCTGTCTGTCTGTTATCTATCTATCTATCCCAATGCATCTATCGATTCTTTCGTATCTGTGTTTCTGTCCCTCCTTTTTTTTTCTGCTACTATTTAATTTTACCTTATATTCTCTCTTATATCTGTTTTACTATCTATCTTTTGTTATATAGATCTATCTATTATCATCTATCTATGTAATACTGAGATTGAGCTGACCCACAGATAAAGCATGACACCCCGGTCTATCCACGTTTGGCCCCCAGCAATGCCCCCTGGTCCCTATGCACAGCCAGCCCCCCATCCATGTCCTGTGCACAGTTCTCTATGAGGACTGTGGATGGATGGCTGTGCTCAGGACTCCAGTGCAGGGAACTCCTCGTTTCTCGGGCTGTCATTCACCTTTTTGTTGTCATCCGGCAGCCAATTTTTTTTGAGGGCGGAAGAGCCCAGCTCCCTCTCTCTCTCTCAGGCCTCCTGGCCGGGTGATTGATGTCCCAGTTTGCACAGCGAGCACTAACCAAATGTAAAAAGCACCTCCACTTCAGCTTTTCCTTTTGCTCTTTTTATCCTGCCCCAGGAATTGGAAACAATTGAAGCGAGACAAAGCGGCCTTTTTTTTTGTGTGTTTTTTTTTGATTTTTTTTGATAAGTGATTTTCTGGGCTGGAGCCCCAGTCGTTTTTTGTGGGAAGGATCTCCGACAAGAATGGATCACATAGGGGTTCATCACATCCACCAGAGCCACGCAGAGCCCATCAGCTTTGGGATTGACCAGATCCTGAACAATCCAGACCAGGGGAGTTGTATGATCTCCAGCAGCAGGCTGCAGGATTCAGACTATGGCTTGGGATTTTGTCAGCAGTGCCTACAACACCATGACCGGCAACTACAGCAATAACAGCACCGGGGGATACAACAACAGTGCTTGCAGCATGGCCTCCTTGACTGGCTCCTACAATATGAACATGGGCATGAATATGAATGGCAACAACCTCAATTCTGCCGGGGTTATTCGGGTTCCTGCTCACAGACCTTTGGCTAGTAGTGTGCACCAACCTATTTCCACTGGAATGCCAACTGTGCCCAGTGTGGGGGCAATGAACAATATGAACAACCTTACAGGACTAACCTTCCCCTGGATGGAGAGTAACAGGAGGTACACTAAGGACAGGTTCACAGGTAGGTGAGCATAGACTCTGCTTGGCCTCTGTCCTACCTGAGACTGCTCAACACTTCCCACTTCCCTGTCTACAGCCAGGACACACAATATTCTATAGCTTTCTATCTGTAAGACAGCTGGGGGTTCTTCAAGGCAGGCCTAAAACTAGTCATCCTGACGATAATAATATTGATACAAATAATAAAATGATCTGTAATGTATAATGGACATACACACCCAGCATTCATCAAACACGTAGTTAGAAACCTATCCACTTTTTATTTCAAAACATAATCACAAAAAATATAAGCATGTGTGCGTAAAACATTATTTATATATATATATATATATATATATATATATATATATATATATATATATTTGTGTGTGTGTGTGTAAATATATTATATATATATATATGTGTGTATATATGTGTATATATATATATATATATATATATATATTTATATGTGTATATATATATATATATATATATATATTATAATAATTTTTTTTTCCATACTGTTGTTGGAATGCTTTATATTAAGCTTTAAAAGTATATGCACAATTTACAATATTTAAAAAATATTTTTACATCTAGAATATGCATATGGTATCTGTTAACATGAATATTAATATGAATAAACGCAGCTTATAATATATGCACATATAATTGTATAATATTCTTTTTTTTTTTTTATAAGATATACATAGAATATCATATTCTTTTGTGTTATTAAACATATATAGAATATAATTTTTTTTTGTAGGAGATCCTTTAGTATATTGTGCGTGTTTGTGTTAACATATATAGAATATACTATTTTTATATGATATCCTTTTAGGTTTATTTTAGGTTGTTCGTGTAACCAGACACATAGAATATTTTTATATTACATCTTTTTATTTTTTGGTGCATTTTGGTTGTTTGTACAATCAGACAATATGTATTATATATTTATTATCCTATTCATTACATGATATTCTTAGATTATTTTTTGGGTGTTTGTTTATTGAGACATACAGTATAGTGGGTGTCATAAAATAAAAGTGTTTATATAAATACACTTTTGAAAATAGTAATTACATACCGAATCGTTGCTTGTTTTCTTCTTTTTCCATTTTTGTAAACATGTATACCCTGTCATCTGCAACCTAAAGTAGTGTGGCAGCAGACTGGGATGAATCTGCTTTCATTAAACGATACATATTACTGACTTCTCAGCTAGTTTAGGAACATTTTCAGTGTGGTTAATAAAATGTAACATCTGTAATAGGGAAAGGTTTGATCCTGGTGAGATTGCCCTGGGATTAGAGATTTATGCTACACATAAATCATGTAACAGTTTGTTAGTCCGGTCCAGTTTGAGATCCATAAAATGGATTAGTAACTTGGAGACAATTTTAAGGGTATATGCAGTGTGTGTGTATATATATATAATATATATCATTTATCTTTTCTATATGTCAATGCTATCATTATCAAGCTTGAGTCAATCTATCCTAAAGATAATATATTATCTATTCTAGAAATTAATATAAACAGAAACCTGGGTTAAAAACATGACCACTACTGCCAGGAGCCGATTCCAATCCACCAACGTGTCAAAAAATAATACAAGTATAAAATAGGACATGGATCTATACATAACAAAATAAGGATGAAAGAATAAATAAAAACTATAGGGGGACTGGAATATATAGAAATTACAGAGGAGGGGATAAAAAATATAAAAAAAAAAATACAGAACTGAGCATACATATATAGGGAAAATGGAAAAAAAATAGAATATAATTACAAAATGCAGAAGAGGGTATACACATATAGGAAAAAAATAAAAAAATATATAGAAAGACTTCATGAATATATAAAAAATACAGAAGAGGGCAGGGAAATATAGAAAAATGTAGAAGTGGGTATAATTCTATAGATATAAAAGGCCATAAATATATAGAAAATACAGAAAAAGGCATACATATATAGAACACATAAAATAACACATAGAATAAGTCAATTAAGCACAGATAGTCTAGAATATAGCAGGCATATAGACTGTATAAACATATACTGGATAGTAGATCAATATAGAAAATTTATAAGGATGCAGGAACATAAAGAAACTACGAAAGGGAACTAGGATATAAAGAAAACGTTCAGGATTATATTAATATATAAGAGAGCGAGAAGTTAAAAAAAAAGTCCATAACTGGGCTGCAAACAGAAGAGGGCAGACATATATAAAACATATTGGAGATCATACAAAGAAGGTCGATTGTAAACCCAATAACAGGACCTCAAAACAGTCTGCAGGATATGCATAGTATAAATCTGCAGACACTGTTATTGGCTCCATTCACAATGCTAACACTAGTGATAAGACTTTTTTTTTTTTTTTTAAAGAAGTGATAGTTATTTTCAGTTGAGTCCAATGAGATTTGAAAATTACAGTCACATGGCTAAAAATAAAGATCCTAATGTAAAGCTTCCTGAATTGAGTCTTTGGGTTACAGTCATACAAATATGTATACATATTACTTAGAAGATTCAATGTGTCAGAGATATTTTTCGGCTGGTTGATGTAATTGAGCAATAAGCAACCAGGCATTAAGGCCTATAAAATTACTTATTGTATTTAAAAATTATATATATATATATATATATATATATATATATATATATATATATATATATATATATATATATACTGTATATATATATATATCATTTTTTTTAATGAACTGATTTTGCAGACCTTTTTGAGCAATTGAACAATAGGCAACCAGGCATTAAGGACTAGAAAATTACTTATTGTATTTAAAAACTATATATATATATATATATATATATATATATATATATATATATATATATATATTATATATAATTTTTTTTAATGAACTGATTCAGATCTAGCATTGATATTTGTGATTGTCATACTTGGATTAGAGCCAGTGGCAGAGAGCTATATCGATGCCATTGCTGTAGAGATGTATAGGAGGGGTGCATGCGGGGGGCTCTGCTTTGTCTGTGCCATGCTCTGTGACTTCTGCTCATTTGCTACCTGCTTTTGCCATCTGTCTCCCACTCCAGTGGCCCTCTCACCCTTCACTGTAACACGCCGTATAGGTCACCCGTACCAGAACAGGACGCCCCCCAAGAAGAAGAAGCCCCGCACATCGTTCACCAGACTACAGATCTGCGAGCTGGAGAAGAGGTTCCACCGACAGAAGTACCTGGCATCGGGCCGAGAGGGCAGCCCTGGCCAAAGCACTTAAAATGACAGACGCCCAGGTAAAAACCTGGTTTCAAAACAGAAGGACTAAATGGAGGTAAGTCACCTACCCACCTTCTCTAGTGGTCTTTTGGGGACACCAGGCAAGGGTCACCGTGAGAGCCCTATCAACCTCTCTATGAGGTTCACATAAACTGCTTCTATGTGTTATATAGGTTTAGGGAATACCTCTTCCTAGAAAAAAGGGCTAGGCCCAGAATTCACATTGGAACTGATACAAGACATTCTGCTGTAGGCTATCTGAGATCTCCATTACTAAATCCCAATTCAAGGTTTTTCATATGAAAGATCTACCTGGGCACTGTTCTAGAGGGTGAGGCCCTTTCTGCCCTGGAACAAATCACACAGCTGACAGTGTGATAACTTGGGGGAGATTTACTAAATCTGTTGCAGCTGTGCATGCTAACCAATCAGCTTCCAGATTTTATTGTCCACGCTTAACTGAACATTCTGAAGTTAGAAGCTGATTGGTTACCATGTTCAGCTGCACCAGATTCTGTGTGCACCAGTGTTAGTAAATATCCCGCACACCCATCCATGCCATGCCTTTTTTTTTTTACAACAGATATTTGTGTAAAACAGAGATTTAAAAAAAGGGGAAAACTGTCGTTTATTGGAGCCACTTTTGTACAACCTGCTATCTATTGCACAGAGAAAATGAAAGAATCGAACAACTCTATGAATATATATATATAGGAAATGTCTGTCTGGGCTGCCTTGTAATGTGAAAGAATTATAAGCCACTTCTACAAGCACAGTATAATAATAAAGAAAAAAGAGAGGGGGAAAGAAAAGGAAAAGAGAAGAAAAGAAAGAAAGGAAAAAAGGGAAGAAAGGAAAGAAAAATAGAAAATAATTGATAAAATAGATGTATGATTAATGGTTGTCTCCTCTCCTCTGTTCCTTTAGCTCTACCTTACTTCAGTTAGCTCTACAGCATTTTGTTCTCACATGTCAAGATTCTTTTACTGAGAAATGGATCAAATATATCAATATGTCTACTTCCATTGTACGTACAGACCTATGAGAAAGAATGAAAAATATTTATTGAAGGCAGTAAGAAGGAATAATGGGGATGATTTACTAAATCTAGGGAGTGCAAAATTCTGGTGCATCTTTGTATTGTAGCCAATCAGATTCTAACTTCAGCTTATTCAATTAGGCTTTGATAATAAAACCTGGAAGCTGATTGGTTTCCATGCAGAGCTGCACCATATTTTGCACTCTCCAGTTTTAGTAAATCAACCCCAGTTTGCGTTGCAGAATCTTGTGACCCGATAACAAGTTAGAAATCATGTAAGTACACTAGTACTGGTTTATAGAGGTTTCTGCCCTCTCCCCATCAGGATGGACCATGAAGCAGAGATATGAAGGTTGCTCTGTCTAGAAAGTGGTTTTAGCTCCCTCTGATCCTATATTAATCCAGTGCTGTCCTGTATTCCCAGCATAATCCTGGTTTATGTTCACCACCTTCAGAATCAGTAATTAAAGTGGAATTAAACCTTTAAAATAGTTTTTGTTATAGTGGATCTTACCAATTCTTAGATGTGATGACTGCATTAATTTTCTTTTAATGCCTTTTTTCTTTATATTCACTTGGTGATCCTGCCAGTAAGTCTGTTATTGTTCAACTTCATTTAAACGACCAAACTGTCCAGCAAAAGTGGCAGTTAGAGGGTTGAGGCAAACCAATTAACACTAATGCTTGCAATGGTCAGCTTTTATTCACTTATCTAAAACCTTTCCAAAAGAAAAAAAAAAAAACACTATTGCTGTTCCTGCTAGTCCTGTCCATCATCAGCTGCTCCCAGGCAGACAATGCTGCTGTCCAGGGGTGGCTCCATTGCTCCCCCATTCAGGCTGGAGACACCCTTAGCCAGGAAGAATGTTACTGGCCGGATCGTCAGGTGAAAATAAAGGAAAACGAACACAGCCACCATATTTAAGGACTGGTAAGCTGCAATATGTTATTTTTTGTTTTGGGAGTTTAATACCGCTTTAAACCTTGTCAGTGGCAGGTTATGACAATTTGCTACTTTCAGTGCTGGACAAACTCTTCCACCAAGTCAAAAAAATCACTGTATGCAGCTGTCATTAGTTCAGAGAAAGTTCACATAGTTTTCCTATGTGTATGTCTCTATGCGATTATGTAACCCATGTACAGTGTGTGAATATTGATATCTGTACATCCCCCCCTCTTCCTCTTCTTGCATTATTATACTTTTTATTGTATTTTGTAAACACTCTGATGACAGTTGTTTTATGTTTTATAAATATAGCATCCTATTAAAACAATAATGAACTATTTATAGCAATTTTATACCTTGTATTCAAATGTAAATTGAAGACAGAACAGGCTCCTGGGCCATTGCTGCACTGATTTAACCCCTTCAGTACTGCAGCGTATGGTCAGCCATGAGAAGGGCTCTATAGAAGCAGAGCTGGCAATGGACTTCCATAGCAGGAACAGACCTCTGCAGCTCCCCAGTACGTGTGAAGACATGAAGCTGCTGCTGCTGCTCTCCCCTACTCTCCTCCACTAACCAGGGTTGTTTTAACTAAAATCCAGCCACTGAAGTGGCTTGACGACCAGCCAACCACTGCAGGCCCTGGGGCTTCGGGCAGGAATGGGTTAAATCAGTGACATAAGGGACTATTACATTAGATTACAGACAAATGTATCAGATGTGGGGGTGTCAGGGCTTCAGTATCAGGAAGGACAGTAACTGTCACCATTGCCTGGGAACCCCAGTTAGTTTGGGGCATCTGGGGTGTTCTGTGTTCAGATGGAGCTGCAATTAATTCACACAATTAAATGGCTTTTGCTCGGATCCATAATTACCAACGTAATTACAAGAGTTAATTAACCCCCCGAGTGCTGAGAAACTTCAAATCTCTATCAGGGGTGCCATTGGATCCTAGTGTGTTATATCATAGGTGTCATTGGGATTTTCATATGGTATATCATAGGTGTCATTGGATTTTCATGTGTGATATTATGGGTGCTATTAGGATTTTCATGTGTTATATCATAGGTGTCATTGGATTCTTATATGTTATATCATGGGTGCTATATGAATTTTCATATGTTATATTATGGGTGCTATATGGATTTTCTTATGTTATATTATGGGTGCTATATGGATTTTCATGTTATATTATGGGTGCTATATGGATTTTCTTATGTTATATTATGGGTGCTATTGGAATCCTATATGTTATATCATGGGTGCTTTTTATATTTCCATATGTTATATTATGGATGCTATTGGATTCCTATGTTATATCATGGGTACTATTTGGATTTTCATGTATTATATTCCACGGGTTCTATTCGGATTTTCATATGTTATATTATGGGTACTGTTGGATTCCTATATGTTATATCATGGGTGCTATTTGGATTTTCATATGTTATATTCCACGGGTTCTATTTGGATTTTCTCGTTTTTTTTTTATCCTGGGGTGTGTTTTATGTGCATTTTCGATCGTGGGTGCTATTGGATTTTCATGTATGTTTTATATTGTGGGTTCTATTGGATTTTCATGTTTGTCTCAAATCAATTGTTCTTAGGATATTCATGAATGTTTTTTGTATTTTTTATACTGCGGGTTCTATGGGATTTTTATGTGTTTATGTAATTGGTACTATTGAAATTTAATGTGTGTTTTAATCCATGGGTGCTATACTGTCAGTAAATTATTTCCTAGCGTTCAAAGTGATTTCACAATCACAAGAACCACAATTCTTATGGAAAGAGTAAAAGAGCTGTAGGTTGTGCATTATATTTTTAGCAACACATGCTGGCTATACTACATGGCTCACCGCCCTGTAATCTGCTTGCAATTCTGCCCACTTTTTTGTTATGCACTTTTCTATGTTTTACTTAGTTAATGCATGAGTCGTATGTGTATGTGTGTGTGTGTGTGTGTGTGTGTGTGTGTGTATGTATATATATATATATATATATATATATATATATATATATATATATATATCCCTATGCGTGAGTGTGCAATGTATGGATTCTTCCTGCTAGTGGGGAGAAGAAAAAGTCACATTGTGCTGAAATAAAAATAATACAAATAATAAAAATTATAATAATAATATATTAATAATAACAATTTTTATTAATTGGAGCATATATCTTTTAATTGATATATGATGAGCGACTTATAAGTGACTTGGAGACTAGTGATGTATCCAACATTGCTAGGTTGTTCATATGACATCAATTTATAAACGTACTTTGTAATAGAATTAACAAAAAAAACAAATCTTATCAGGACTACTAGAAAGATAATAACTGAAGCTGTAAAAAAAAAAAAAAAAAAAGGAATAATAAACCAGCAATAATAAAATGAGGACATTAGACGGTCACCTGAGAGTTCCATGCTGGTGATGGTGCTAATGTCCTTATATATATGGTATACAACAAGTGACATTATTATTATTTTATGTAATACAACTATTATGTACCATTAGGAGTTGTAGCCATTTTCTTAACACAGCTTATATATATATATATATATATATATATATATATATATATATATATATATATATATAATTATGATATACATTTTAATATCAACAACAAAACAACTTGTTGTTATTATTAGTATTATTTTATGGGTTGACGAATAGCTACTATCTGAATATTAATGACATCCTTTGGTAAATTCGGAGCCCCCCTGGGAAATCATTATAAGACAGAATGTAATTGAGCTATATGGCGGTGGATGTATTTGTATGTTTTCGGCTGATATATGGCTCCGGTGTGGACAGCGATATTAATAAGGCTCGGGTGTCAGTAATTAGCTGGGGTCACACACGTTTATATAGATACTGACTGTCACCCAGGGGCTGTAATAAGGTTAGAGCCGTTCACTGGTGTCCTATCTCCATACAATCCCCTATGGAGGAATCCCTGGGCTATCTGATAGAAGATCAGGATGGAGATATCGCATACATAGGACTCCCCTCTGCTGCCATCTGCCAAATACTTGGGGTAGCAATCACCTCTCCCAACAGACTGAA